ATCCACTACAGTAAAACTCAACACATCCACTACAGTAAACACGTCCACATCCACTACAGTAAACTCAACACATCCACTACAGTAAAACATAACACATCCACTACAGTAACAACGTCCACATCCACTACAGTAAAGCAACGTACCACATCCACTACAGTAACAACGTCCACATCCACTTTACAGTAACAACGTCCACATCCACTACAGTAAACGTCGCATCCACACATCCACAATAACAGTAACACACATCCACTGCGCCAGTAAACCTACGGTAACAACGTCCACATCCACTACAGTAAACTCAACACATCCACTACAGTAAAACTCAACACATCCACTACAGTAAAACCGTCCACATCCACTACAGTAACACTCAACACAACCGCTACAGTAAACGTCAACACATCCACTACAGTAACAACGTCCACATCCACTACAGTAACAACGTCCACATCCACTACAGTAAACTCAACACATCCACTACACAGTAAACTCAACACATCCACTACAGTAACAACGTCAACACATCCACTACAGTAAAACGTCCACATCATCTACAGTAAACGTCACATCCACTACAGTAACAACGTCCACATCCACTACAGTAACAACGTCCACATCCACTACAGTAACAACGTCATCACATCCGCTACAGTAACAACGTCCACATCCACTACAGTAACAACGTCCACATCCACTACAGTAACAACGTCCACATCCACTACAGTAACAACGTCCACATCCACTACAGTAACAACGTCCACATCCACTACAGTAACAACGTCCACATCCACTACAGTAACAACGTCCACATCCACTACAGTAACAACGTCCACATCCAGTACAGTAACAACGTCCACATCCACTACAGTAACAGCAATCCACACCCACTACAGTAACAGCAATAACCACAACCAGTACAGTAACAACGTCCACATCCACTACAGTAACAACGTCCACATCCACTACAGTAACAACGTCCACATCCACTACAGTAACAGCAATAACCACAATCAGTACAGTAACAACGTCCACATCGACTACAGTAACAATAGCCACAGGCACCACATACACAGATGCAGCTACCACTATCTCAAAAGCTATACGACTAGCTCACCAGTTACCACTATCTCAACAGCTATACCACTAGCTCACCAGCTACCACTATCTCAACAGCTATACCACTAGTTTACCAGTTACCACTATTTCAACAGCTATACCACAAGCTCACCAGTTACCACTAGCTCAACAGCTATACCACTAGCTCACCAGCTATACCACTAGCTTACCAGCTATACCACTAGCTCACCAGTTACCACTATCTCAACAGCTATACCACTGGCTCACCAGCAGCCACTAGCTCAACAGCTATACCACTAGCTCACCAGTTACCACTATCTCAACAGCTATACCACTAGCTTACCAGTTACCACTATCTCAACAGCTATACCACTAGCTCACCAGTTACCACTATCTCAACAGCTATACCACTAGCTCACCAGCTACCACTATCTCAACAGCTATACCACTAGCTCACCAGTTACCACTATCTCAACAGCTATACCACTAGCTTACCAGTTACCACTATCTCAACAGCTATACCACTAGCTCACCAGTTACCACTATCTCAACAGCTATACCACTAGCTTACCAGTTACCACTATCTCAACAGCTATACCACTAGCTCACCAGTTACCACTATCTCAACAGCTATACCACTAGCTCACCAGCTACCACTATCTCAACAGCTATACCACTAGCTCACCAGCTACCACTACCTCAACAGCTATACCACTAGCTTACCAGTTACCACGATCTCAAAGCTATATCACTAGCTTACCAGTTACCACTATCTCAACAGCTATACCACTAGCTCACCAGTTACCACTATCTCAACAGCTATACCACAAGCTCACCAGTTACCACTATCTCAACAGCTATACCACTAGCTCACCAGTTACCACTCTCTCAACAGCTATACCACTAGCTCACCAGTTACCACTATCTCAACAGCTATACCACTAGCTCACCAGTTACCACTATCTCAACAGCTATACCACTAGCTCACCAGTTACCACTATCTCAACAGCTATACCACTAGCTTACCAGTTACCACTATCTCAACAGCTATACCACTAGCTCACCAGTTACCACTATCTCAACAGCTATACCACTAGCTCACCAGTTACCACTATCTCAACAGCTATACCACTAGCTTACCAGTTACCACTATCTCAACAGCTATACCACTAGCTTACCAGAACTTACACTCGCCATTGCCTGGACATGCTACAGGCTTCATGTCGGGACGGCTTCTAGCATTGCACCATAGACCTCCCTCGTGGGGACAAAGGGTTAATTGTGTGCCCTGTCTATTATCACAGTGAAGAGCAAGCGTACAGCCAGGCTGTAAAGTATCTATGTCACTTGTTCCAGCAATCTCGTGTCAACATTGCTACAAAACAGCGTAATTCGAGTGGCTTATTGTATTTCTGAGAACTTCTAGAATGCCAATCAAAGAAGTTATTGCATTTCTGTCTGATGTCTGAAACATGTAATCTAGGTCGCCATTCAGTTGGTACGATGTCATGAGGAACACGGTGCTGTGTTTCTGGTGGTAGTTTGGTCGTACATCACGGTGATATGTTTCTGACGGTAGTTTGGTCGTGCATCACGGTGCTATGTTTCTGGTGGTAGTTTGGTCGTACATCACGGTGCTATGTTTCTGGCGGTAATTTGGTCGTACATCACGGTGCTATGTTTCTGGCGGTAGTTTGGTCGTACATCACGGTGCTATGTTTCTGGCGGTAGTTTGGTCGTACATCACAGTGCTATGTTTCTGGCGATAGTTTGGTCGTACATCACGGTGCTATGTTTCTGGTGGTAGTTTGGTCGTACATCACGGTGCTATGTTTCTGGTGGTAGTTTGGTCGTACATCACGGCGGTATGTTTCTGGTGGTAGTTTGGTCATACAACACGGTGCTATGTTTCTGGCGTTAGTTGGTCGTACATCACGGTGCTATGTTTCTGGCGGTTGTTTGGGCGTACAACACAGTGCTATGTTTCTGGCGTTAGTTTGGGCGTACAACACGGTGGTATGTTTCTGGTGGTAGTTTGGTCGTACATCACAGTGCTATGTTTCTGGCGGTAGTTTGGGCGTACAACACGGTGGTATGTTTCTGGCGGTAGTTTGGTCGTACATCACGGTGCTATGTTTCTGGTGGTAGTTTGGGCGTACATCACGGCGGTATGTTTCTGGTGGTAGTTTGGTCGTACAACACGGTGCTATGTTTCTGGCGTTAGTTGGTCGTACATCACGGTGATATGTTTCTGACGGTAGTTTGGTCGTGCATCACGGTGCTTTGTTTCTGGTGGTAGTTTGGTCGTACATCACGGTGCTATGTTTCTGGCGGTAATTTGGTCGTACATCACGGTGCTATGTTTCTGGCGGTAGTTTGGTCGTACATCACGGTGCTATGTTTCTGGCGATAGTTTGGTCGTACATCACGATGCTATGTTTTTGGTGGTAGTTTGGTCGTGCATCACGGTGCTATGTTTCTGGCGGTAGTTTGGTCGTACATCACGGCGGTAAGTCTCCGGCGTTAGTTTGGTCGTACATCACGGTGCTATGTTTCTGGTGGTAGTTTGGTCGTACATCACAGTGCTATGTTTCTGGCGGTAGTTTGGGCGTACAACACGGTGGTATGTTTCTGGTGGTAGTTTGGTCATACAACACGGTGGTATGTTTCTGGCGGTAGTTTGGTCGTACATCACGGTGCTATGTTTCTGGTGGTAGTTTGGGCGTACATCACGGTGCTATGTTTCTGGTGGTAGTTTGGTCGTACAACACGGTGCTATGTTTCTGGCGTTAGTTGGTCGTACATCACGGTGCTATGTTTCTGGCGGTTGTTTGGGCGTACAACACGGTGCTGTGTTTCTGGTGGTAGTTTGGTCGTACATCACGGTGATATGTTTCTGACGGTAGTTTGGTCGTGCATCACGGTGCTTTGTTTCTGGTGGTAGTTTGGTCGTACATCACGGTGCTATGTTTCTGGCGGTAGTTTGGTCGTACATCACGGTGCTATGTTTCTGGCGATAGTTTGGTCGTACATCACGATGCTATGTTTTTGGTGGTAGTTTGGTCGTGCATCACGGTGCTATGTTTCTGGCGGTAGTTTGGTCGTACATCACGGCGGTAAGTCTCTGGCGTTAGTTTGGTCGTACATCACGGTGCTTTGTTTCTGGTGGTAATTTGGTCGTACATCACGGTGCTATGTTTCTGGCGGTAGTTTGGTCGTGCATCACGGTGCTATGTTTCTGGCGGTAGTTTGGTCGTACATCACGGCGGTAAGTCTCCGGCGTTAGTTTGGTCGTACATCACGGTGCTATGTTTCTGGCGGTAGTTTGGTCGTACATCACGGTGCTATGTTTCTGGCGATAGTTTGGTCGTACATCACGGTGCTATGTTTCTGGCGGTAGTTTGGTCGTACATCACAGTGCTATGTTTCTGGTGGTAGTTTGGGCGTACATCACGGTGCTATGTTTCTGGTGGTAGTTTGGGCGTACAACACGGTGCTATGTTTCTGGTGGTAGTTTGGTCGTACAACACGGTGCTATGTTTCTGGCGGTTCCCCGTAACCCAATAAACGATTAAACGATTATTTATATGTCTATTCCCGGTGCTATGTTTCTGGCGGAAGTTTGGTCATATATCAGGGATATATGTTTCTGGCGGTTCCCTGTAACCCAATAAACGATTAAACAATTATTTATATGTCTATTTACGATATGTCTATTCACGGTGCTATGTTTCTGGCGGTAGTTTGGTCGTACATCACGGTGCTATGTTTCTGGTGGTAGTTTGGTCGTACATCACGGTGATATGTTTCTGGCGGTTCCCTGTAACCCAATAAACGATTAAACGATTATTTATATCACCGTTTTTGACTTTGCTCGAAAATGGTTTGTTTATTACATATCACGTTTTCAAATATTTCAGGTCTGACGTCATGACTGAACTTCAGGAAAAATATCGACGGAGTATCGGTAGATGGCGCTGTGCTGCTATAGCCTTGTTTCTCATAGCTCTGGCATTAGTCGTGGCTCTTATTGCCGTCTCCATGATGAAGGACAGGAGGTTTGAACGCCAGGCTGCGGATGATTGTGGAGAAAGTTTTGGGAAGCCCGATATTGACACATCTGAGGCAGAGGAACCTGGGCTGTATGATGACCTTACCGTGAAGGAGCTGAAAGCCATCCAGGACTACCTGTACAGCCTGAAGACGCAGTTAAACCTCAAGAAGCCCGATAAAGCTGCAGTCAACGTCAGCTATATATATGTGTCAGATCTTCACCCCCACTGAAATCAGAAGCACTGGCCTACTTAAGTGGGTCCGGACCTAAACCAGAAAGGAAAGCTCGAATTGTGATCTTTAGAGGAGACGCTGTTCCGCCAGTGTCAGAAGAATATATTGTTGGTCCTCTCCCTAACCCCAACAGTTGCAAGTTGTTGACGGTTCCTGGCCGCTTGAATCCGGTTCCATATGCTTTCCGACCTATAGGAAACGTGGAGTTTGGATCATACTACAAGAAACTATTCCCAGAGGTAGACAAAAAGATTGGTTTTATTTTGAAGGAGAGTTATGGTGCCACATTTACAGACTGTGGAGACAGATGCCTCAATTTCTACCCAACACCTGTGGGTTCTGGTATTAGCAAATCGAGAGTGAGGAAGATGTGGTTGACAACAAGTCACTTCGTTGAGTATTACGACCTTAACCCTGTTGATCTGATGATGCTTGCAAATATCAACTCCCAAGATCCTGCAAAATTCTATATTGAAAAACTAGTATATGCTGATCAGGAGTATTCCAGTCTTGATGACCTCGCCACCCAGTACAGAGCTGGTTCAATCCCAAAATCCAAGATACCATTCCCGGAAACGTCAAGGAATTGAAGTCTTCATTACACAGAAGAGGTAATCCTGTCCCAAAGAAGCCACAGAGGCCTCCCCGAATGTACGAACCTGACGGTAAGCGATACAGTGTGCACCATCGCCACGTGGAATACATGCAGTGGGCCTTCAACTTCAGAATGTCCACTTTAAGTGGTCCACAAATTTACGACATCCGCTTCAACAATGAGAGGATTGCATATGAAGTTGGCCTACAAGAGATAGCTGTCTTTTATGCGTCCAATAACTCTGCTACACGGAGTGCTGATTTCATCGATAGTGGTGCTCTCATTGGCACCCACTCCCAATCTCTGGTTCCTGGTGCGGACTGTCCAGAGACGAGTACATTCTTCAACTATTCCTATTTGGGTGAAACTTCCGAGGAGCCAGTTCTTCTTCAGAGAGCTTTCTGTCTGTTTGAACTGAACCAAGGAATTCCTCTTCGTCGCCATCTTTCATACAGCCAGGTTGAGGGTGGCTTCTATTCCGGAATGGAGGACAATGTGTTAGTTCTGAGAAGTATCATGACAATAATTAACTATGATTATGTGATGGACTTTATATTTCACCAAAGCGGAGCTATGGAAGTTCGAGTTCTATCGACAGGGTATATATTCGCCTCCTTCTATACCCCCAAAGAAGATCCATATGGCTTCCAACTGAAGCAAAGTACTATTGGTAATATTCATCACCATCTGTTCCTCTTCAAAGCTGACGTTGACATTCATGGACCGAACAATAGATACGAAACTCTTGACATATCACGTGACGTTTCCCCCAACTCACAAACGACAGACGACCCTAACTCCAAGTACTACCAGATCAAGTATGAGCGTTCTCTCAAGAGGGCAGAGATGGATGCAGCCTTCAAGTTCAACTTTGAGAAGCCAAAATACCACGTCTTCCACAACAACGAAAACCCAACCAAATTTGGGGCAATCAAGGCTTACAGGTACTAGACTTGACTAGGAAGCAACTTTGCCGAAAGAAGGAATATTTCTTCGAGCGATGATAATACATACTTAAGTACTCGCTCAAGCACAGATTTACAATACAGTATAATATGGCACCGTGATCAGTGTAACAGTCGAGGTGTCTGATACAGCAAACAATGATTGTCTCAGTGCATCTGTAGGATTCAGGAACCTCATTAATCCATGCATGTTATTTCATAGCAAGTCTGAAATGAGGATAGATCTTGGGGATTTAGTGATTGTGTATAAATGATGGCGTAAGTGGTATTTTGACAAGAGTAGCATTCACTCGCTCGCTGTTATCTATAGTGTACTTTGTCGGTACTGTTTGTAATCACAACCAATATCGGCATGAGGGGTAATAGGTGTATACGTTGGCTGTATATACATGTGCTGTTGTTTTTTGTATTCTCCTAGAATCCACCTGGACGGAATGACAAAAGTGCTTATCCCTGAAGACAAAGGTAACGAGCCCGTTGTTTCATGGGCGAGGAACCAAATGACTGTCACCAAGTTCAAGGACGACGAAAGAGATGCCAGCTCCGTGTACGGACTGTTCGATTCCTTGGAACCCACAGTCAACTTTACGTCGTTCTATGCTGATAACGACGACATTGTTGATCAGGTAAACATTTTTAGTTTTGCTTTTCTTATAATGGCACATCCTCATCCCGTTATAAGTAGCCATGGGAACTGCAACCAGGTTAGGTAGAGAGACAGTCTGTCGCTCCTCCTACAACATGGGACATGTACATATTGTCCAACACCAACGTCATCACATTTATACTGATAGGAGCACATGTTTTGACAAAAAGGAGTTCCCGAAAATAACCGTTAGTGCACATCAATTGTAATTAAGACAATGAGGGACATCTGACTTCTCGGTTCAAATTTCTTCTACCATGGACATTTGCTTCAACAGGAAATGGTGTCATAGAACCGGATGTGTTCATGAATTTGTGACTAGTGGTCGTCATTGTGTTACGTTATCGTGGCAGCTAGATGTATACGGCACAGGAAAAAGTTGTAAATTCATTTGATAACATTAATTATCAAAGGAATATATAAAGGAGGTATCAGGGGTTTCATCACATGTGTAACAAATAAACATTAGCGACCCTTGATCGACCACGGCGATACCTTAGTTGCTGTAGACACTGGAAGCACGACCTTCCTGACATTATATATCTGCATAGTGATCTGCAGATGATGCAGCGGATACTGTTTTTCATCTTTTGGCTTGATACTGCTCTGGAACCTAACCATGGTTTGACAAATATTGATATTATTGTGTTGAGGTGTCGTCTTCAGGAGATAAAATATAATAATGTGTTATAGCCTTCTTAGTATAAACCGTTGGGACATGGTTACTAGTTAGTTAGTACTGAGGAAGGATTACAGTTATAGCCTTCTTAGTATAAACCGTTGGGACATGGTTATTGGTTAGTTAGTACTGGGGAAGGATTACAGTTATAGCCTTCTTAGTATAAACCGTTGGGACATGGTTACTGGTTAGTTAGTACTGGGGAAGGATAACAGTTATAGCCTTCTTTAGTATAAACCGTTGGGACATGGTTACTGGTTAGTTAGTACTGAGGAAGGATAACAGTTATAGCCTTCTTAGTATAAACCGTTGGGACATGGTTACTGGTTAGTTAGTACTGAGGAAGGATAACAGTTATAGCCTTCTTAGTATAAACCGTTGGGACATGGTTACTGGTTAGTTAGTACTGAAGAAGGATTACAGTTATAGCCTTCTTAGTATAAACCTGGGACATGGTTACTGGTTAGTTAGTACTGGGGAAGGATTACAGTTATAGCCTTCTTAGTATAAACCGTTGGGACATGGTTACTGGTTAGTTAGTACTGGGGAAGGATTACAGTTATAGCCTTCTTAGTATAAACCGTTGGGACATGGTTACTGGTTAGTTAGTACTGAGGAAGGATTACAGTTATAGCCTTCTTAGTATAAACCGTTGGGACATGGTTACTGGTTAGTTAGTACTGGGAAGGATTACAGTTATAGCCTTCTTAGTATAAACCGTTGGGACATGGTTACTGGTTAGTTAGTACTGGGAAGGATTACAGTTATAGCCTTCTTAGTATAAACCGTTGGGACATGGTTACTGGTTAGTTAGTACTGGGGAAGGATTACAGTTATAGCCTTCTTAGTATAAACCGTTGGGACATGGTTACTGGTTAGTTAGTACTGAGGAAGGATAACAGTTATAGCCTTCTTAGTATAAACCGTTGGGACATGGTTGCTGGTTAGTTAGTACTGGGGAAGGATTACAGTTATAGCCTTCTTAGTATAAACCGTTGGGACATGGTTACTGGTTAGTTAGTACTGGGGAAGGATAACAGTTATAGCCTTCTTAGTATAAACCGTTGGGACATGGTTACTGGTTAGTTAGTACTGGGAAGGATAACAGTTATAGCCTTCTTACTATAAACCGTTGGGACATGGTTACTGGTTAGTTAGTACTGAGGAAGGATTACAGTTACAGCCTTCTTAGTATAAACCGTTGGGACATGGTTACTGGTTAGTTAGTACTGGGGAAGGATAACAGTTATAGCCTTCTTAGTATAAACCGTTGGGACATGGTTACTGGTTAGTTAGTACTGGGGAAGGATAATAGTTATAGCCTTCTTAGTATAAACCGTTTGGACATGGTTACTGGTTAGTTAGTACTGAGGAAGGATAACAGTTATAGCCTTCTTACTATAAACCGTTGGGACATGGTTACTGGTTAGTTAGTACTGGGGAAGGATTACAGTTATAGCCTTCTTAGTATAAACCGTTGGGACATGGTTGCTGGTTAGTTAGTACTGAGGAAGGATAACAGTTATAGCCTTCTTAGTATAAACCGTTGGGACATGGTTACTGGTTAGTTAGTACTGGGGAAGGATTACTTTTATAGCCTTCTTAGTATAAACCGTTGGGACATGGTTACTGGTTAGTTAGTACTGGGGAAGGATAACAGTTATAGCCTTCTTAGTATAAACCGTTGGGACATGGTTGCTGGTTAGTTAGTACTGAGGAAGGATTACAGAGTTATAGCCTTCTTAGTATTATAAACCGTTGGGACATGGTTACTGGTTAGTTAGTACTGAGGAAGGATAACAGTTATAGCCTTCTTAGTATAAACCGTTGGGACATGGTTACTGGTTAGTTAGTACTGAGGAAGGATTACAGTTATAGCCTTCTTAGTATAAACCGTTGGGACATGGTTGCTGGTTAGTTAGTACTGAGGAAGGATTACAGTTATAGCCTTCTTAGTATAAACCGTTGGGACATGGTTGCTGGTTAGTTAGTACTGAGGAAGGATAACAGTTATAGCCTTCTTAGTATAAACCGTTGGGACATGGTTACTGGTTAGTTAGTACTGAGGAAGGATAACAGTTATAGCCTTCTTAGTATAAACCGTTGGGACATGGTTACTGGTTAGTTAGTACTGGGGAAGGATAAAAGTTATAGCCTTCTTAGTATAAACCGTTGGGACATGGTTGCTGGTTAGTTAGTACTGAGGAAGGATAACAGTTATAGCCTTCTTAGTATAAACCGTTGGGACATGGTTGCTGGTTAGTTAGTACTGAGGAAGGATAACAGTTATAGCCTTCTTACTATAAACCGTTGGGACATGGTTACTGGTTAGTTAGTACTGGGAAGGATAACAGTTATAGGCTTCTTAGTATAAACCGTTGGGACATGGTTACTAGTTAGTTAGTACTGGGGAAGGATAACAGTTATAGCCTTCTTAGTATAAACCGTTGGGACATGGTTACTGGTTAGTTAGTACTGGGAAGGATTACAGTTACAGCCTTCTTAGTATAAACCGTTGGGACATGGTTGCTGGTTAGTTAGTACTGGGGAAGGATTACAGTTATAGCCTTCTTGGTATAAACCGTTGGGACATGGTTACTGGTTAGTTAGTACTGGGGAAGGATAACAGTTATAGCCTTCTTAGTATAAACCGTTGGGACATGGTTACTGGTTAGTTAGTACTGAGGAAGGATAACAGTGATAGCCTTCTTAGTATAAACCGTTGGGACATGGTTGCTGGTTAGTTAGTACTGAGGAAGGATAACAGTTATAGCCTTCTTAGTATAAACCGTTGGGACATGGTTACTGGTTAGTTAGTACTGGGGAAGGATTACAGTTATAGCCTTCTTAGTATAAACCGTTGGGACATGGTTGCTGGTTAGTTAGTACTGAGGAAGGATAACAGTTATAGCCTTCTTAGTATAAACCGTTGGGACATGGTTACTGGTTAGTTAGTACTGGGAAGGATAACAGTTATAGCCTTCTTAGTATAAACCGTTGGGACATGGTTACTGGTTAGTTAGTACTGGGGAAGGATAAAAGTTATAGCCTTCTTAGTATAAACCGTTGGGACATGGTTGCTGGTTAGTTAGTACTGAGGAAGGATAACAGTTATAGCCTTCTTACTATAAACCGTTGGGACATGGTTACTGGTTAGTTAGTACTGGGGAAGGATAACAGTTATAGCCTTCTTAGTATAAACCGTTGGGACATGGTTACTAGTTAGTTAGTACTGGGGAAGGATAACAGTTATAGCCGTCTTAGTATAAACCGTTGGGACATGGTTACTGGTTAGTTAGTACTGGGGAAGGATTACAGTTACAGCCTTCTTAGTATAAACCGTTGGGACATGGTTGCTGGTTAGTTAGTACTGGGGAAGGATTACAGTTATAGCCTTCTTAGTATAAACCGTTGGGACATGGTTGCTGGTTAGTTAGTACTGGGGAAGGATTACAGTTATAGCCTTCTTGGTATAAACCGTTGGGACATGGTTACTGGTTAGTTAGTACTGGGGAAGGATAACAGTTATAGCCTTCTTAGTATAAAACCGTTGGGACATGGTTACTGGTTAGTTAGTACTGGGGAAGGATAACAGTTATAGCCTTCTTAGTATAAACCGTTGGGACATGGTTGCTGGTTAGTTAGTACTGGGAAGGATTACAGTTATAGCCTTCTTAGTATAAACCGTTGGGACATGGTTACTGGTTAGTTAGTACTGGGAAGGATAACAGTTATAGCCTTCTTAGTATAAACCGTTGGGACATGGTTACTGGTTAGTTAGTACTGGGGAAGGATAACAGTTATAGCCTTCTTAGTATAAACCGTTGGGACATGGTTACTAGTTAGTTAGTACTGGGGAAGGATAACAGTTATAGCCTTCTTAGTATAAACCGTTGGGACATGGTTACTGGTTAGTTAGTACTGGGGAAGGATTACAGTTACAGCCTTCTTAGTATAAACCGTTGGGACATGGTTGCTGGTTAGTTAGTACTGGGGAAGGATTACAGTTATAGCCTTCTTAGTATAAACCGTTGGGACATGGTTGCTGGTTAGTTAGTACTGGGAAGGATTACAGTTATAGCCTTCTTAGTATAAACCGTTGGGACATGGTTACTGGTTAGTTAGTACTGGGAAGGATAACAGTTATAGCCTTCTTAGTATAAACCGTTGGGACATGGTTACTGGTTAGTTAGTACTGGGAAGGATAACAGTTATAGCCTTCTTAGTATAAACCGTTGGGACATGGTTGCTGGTTAGTTAGTACTGAGGAAGGATTACAGTTATAGCCTTCTTAGTATAAA